GAAACTTTGAGGCTCGCACCGACCTCACGCGCGACTTCCAGCACGAAGAAGATCATGCCGAACCCCACGCTCTCGATTGCTTGGTCAACGAGCATGAGGAAGAGGAAAGACCGAAAATGGCCGCCACCGGGTCGCACCCGGCCACGCCTTCGACAGGAGCCGCTCCCGTCGAGGCTACAGCGAGCGCTTCTCGCCATGCCGCAAGCGCCGCCGCCACATCAGCCGCCGCCGCGGGCCCTGGATCCCCCCGCAACAATGACGCCGCCGTGGCCCAGGTCCACAGGACCCTTCAAGCCCTAGTGCACTCTCTAGGCTCCCAACATCAGCTCCAATCGCAGATTGCCGAGCTTGAACGCGAGATAAACGCTGCCCTTCGGCTCATCCCGGACAGGGGCCGCTCACATGGTTCGTTACGCGCGCACGAGACCCAGTCGCCTTCTCGTGACCTTGCGACCGATTTTTCTTTGCTCGCTCCCTCGCCCGCGGCGCACCCGTCTGCCCGCGATGGCGAAGTGGCGTTTGGCCTGGCCTCCAATCGCCCTCTACCCCGGCTCCCGAGAGAGCCCGTGCACGCTCCACTCGAGGAGGACATTTACATCACCGTATTAAAGGTATATGTCCAGTACAGTGTAATGTGTGTGGACAAGGCGATTGTCACAGAGGTATCCAACCAGTGGAAGTGTACACGAGAACATGGATTGAAGCAAGGCGAAGGAACAAGACAGAACAAGACAGAAGGAGGGAAGTAAATAAATAAGGTGTTTGAACCTCAGAGCTGAAAGCAAAGCTGTGCAACCCCGACATCAAAATCACGACGGCACGCAAAACAACACAAGAGAACAAGACATTTTCATCGGCTCCTATCATGCCGAGGAGTTCAAGCGCGAAGAATTACGCACATAGAAACAAAAATCGTACAAAACGACCAGGTATAACCAGAGATACGGCCATTTAAAACACAAGACACCCAAAAAGGGAGTCACACATATCACAACTACAAGCCATCACAGCACGAACATAAAGAACACCACGGCACGCTCACATCCAACAAGAGACAGTGTCGGGTTGAAAAGACAACCGATCACAGAAGAAAAAGACATCATTCAAAGGAAGTCAAAAATTTAGCAAAATTACCACAAAATACAGCAAAAATTAAAGCAAAATTAAAACAAAAATACAAGATCACAACGAGGAACCACCCTGGGAGCGACAGGTGCACACAGGGATCCCCACAGAGGGACCCCCGAGGCGGTGCCTACCTACGACGAGCGCAGGCAGACACCGCCAAAGTGGCGCTGGATGTGGTCAGCGTTCATCTGATGGACCAGCGCCGCAAAGCGACCCTTCCATCGAGGAACAAAGGCCTCGTCCAGCCCCGGCTGGTACACACCACGGGCCTCGGCGCAGCGGGCGAGCTGACCAAGCAGATCCACAAAGGAGGAGGCGAACCCACCGGTTGTCGTCATCGCCGCAGGGACGATCAGAGTTTTTCCATGGTTGAAACCGGTGTAGTAGTCGCGCTTCTCCTTTTCGGCTCGGCGAAGGGCAGCGCCCACCTTGATGCAGGCTTGCGAGGTGGTCGGGGGTTGGGCTGTGCGCACAGCCACGTCAATGCCCAGGTCGGGCAGAGCTGGGCCCAAGGCACCGCCGGGAAAGGGGTTGCGGCAGTGCAGGTCGATGCGGCAGCTCTGACCGTTGGCGTTGTAGCCAGACTTTTCCACCCAGACATGGGAGAGGGTGGCGTACCTGAGCAGGCGGCCCATCTCGTCGCGAAGGGCGTTGTGTCGCTTGATGGGACGGCAGGTCAGCAGGTGCTCGCGGGTTAGTCGCGGCTGAGGTGTCTTGCTGCTGCAG